GAGAATTCTAGCCACAGGGCTCTCAACCAGTCTGGGAAATGAGATGGATCTTTCTAGTGTCAGTAGGAAGATACTGAAACCTGGAGATCCTTAAGAAGCCACTGGACAGGATACTAATGATGACCTCTAGGAACTACCAGAGAAGCAAACTTGTGGCCAGCAGCCCTGTGATTTCTAATATGCACCTTGGATCTGGTTCCTGAGAGTCCAGATCCTCCCCTTGTCTCCACCTGCAGAAACAAGAATCTAGGTCAGAACTGCTGGAGTCAGACCACAGCTCAACTTCCTCATCCACAACTACAGCCCATGAGAAACAAAAGAGGAGTTCTGCTCACTGGGTGCACCAGTTCTTTCCCCACTGTGCACTTTGTTACTGGAATTGAAAATGTCTACTTGAAGATTCTCTTTACCAGGTCAGGCAAAGCGTATGGGAAAACAAGACTCGGATCGTTTAGAGAATGCAGCCACAGTCCCACTGTCCAGTGACGGCCCAGATGGCCTGTGCGAGACAGCCAGTGGGGCACAGGATTGGGCAGGCAGGTCAGACTAGGCAGAACCTGCATAGACTTCTAGTCTGAGGTCAGTTCTAAGAGCCAATTCTGAAGTCCCACTCCTACTCCTCATCCTTAAAAGGGACACATGTTTCCAGGTTTGGAAAGCACATAAAACTGTACCTTAGAAGGAAACAATGCCACAATAACCGCGATCCACCATTCAAATCCACCACCTCAATATCTCAAGTGTATTTCCTTTCATTCTTTTTTCTAAGGCTTTTTTAAATAATTAACTTATATTTACAATGCCCTATTTCTTTCCCTTAAATTATACTGTAAGCATTTTCTCTTGTCACTAAGACTCCCCATGCCTCGCTTCAATAACTGCATAATATTCTATCATATAGGCATATTGTAATTTATATAACCAGTTCCCTACTGTGGAATGTTTAGGTTCTTCTCTTCCTTTTATTTTCTACTTTAAACCATTTTGCAATATACTTGCCTTAGCATGAATTTTTCTTTCCACTTCAGATTATTTCTCTAGAACCGATTACTAGAAAGAAAATGTTTGGTTCTCAGGGTGACACATATGCCAAGTAGTGTACCGGAGCATTAAAGGTACCCATTTTTGAGAATCCCACTTTGACTGAGGCTGACACTGTCAAAAATGACAGTAATATGAGTAAGTAATATCCAAACAGCCAGCCTATGTGGGCACTGCACTAGATGCTCCCACATACTCATAAGGACCCAACATAGTAGCAATGCTGCAAAGGTCTGAGAGGCTACGGCACTCCCGAAGACAGTCCAGGGTGGTAAGGAGCTGGGTTTCTCTGCCCTCACTTTTTCTCCCGTGCACTCCATACCTGGCCAACAATAGGTGCACAGATATGCAGGCAGATACCCAGCCCTGAGCCTGGCAGACGGGGCTTCTTGTATGCCCTCACTCTCTCCACATTGAAATGTAGCCGAGGTAAGAAATAGGCACGTCCAGGGTGTCCTGTGCTACAGCCACTTCCAGTGGGGCTCAGAGCTGGGAAGCCAAGCAAACATTGATTGGGATACACAACCCCACACTTGGATCCCCAAAATATCTTCAGGTATCCATTTGCTTTGCCATTTTGGTGCCCCTGATATCTTCCTTTGCAAAAGCACTTTCCTGCACTTCCAGCTGCACCATCAGAGCCCAGGCACGCTTAAATCAGCAGTGGTTGTTCCTCCTTCCACAGTCTCACTGAAATCACTCAGCAAACACTGGGTCATCTGAGAGCACCTCAAACCCATTCAGGATTTCCAAAGATCCAGGCTGAGGAGACTGTGTTACTCAACCTTCCAGGTCAGGGAACCAAAACAAGGTCCTTCTGCCCAATGTCATTTGCACTTATAGAAGGAGATTGAGTTCAGTAAAGCAGAGAAGAAACTTTATTCTTTGATCAAGGAATGGAGAAGGGTAAGCTCATGCTCCAATGGCACCTCCTACACTGGAAAGAGCCTTCTGTTTTTATAGCCTGTGTTATGGAGCAATTAAATTCTTTTAGACATGCCTAGTTATTCTTCTGTTGCACCTGGCTAATTTGCAAATGGTCCTTTTACACACAATGCCCTTGTTGCCATTTTTGTTTTTGCACTCAGCACCTTGGTCTTTGTGGTGGGGAATCCTTTTTAGTTCCTGTAAGCAGGCATAGCTCATGACATAATTTAGGTATTGGAAACATTAGGATCTTTTAGTTGATACCCTGGTGATGACAGCAGTCCCTGATTAGTCACTGATCAGAGGGCAGGTGCCCGTATCAGACCCTGGTGAAGGGTCCCCTCCCCCCTCACCCACTGATCCTGGAGCTGGGCAGGGGAGTCAACAGAGATGATAAGTGCTTGGCGTTCACTGTGCCAGCTCTCCAACTATATCAGCTACTCCCAAAGAAAGGACACAGCTCAGAGTTGTGTTGGGGACAGCTGTGACTGTCACTTCTTAATGTCATTGATGAAGGGGTACCAAGCCCTTCAGTTCTTGCAAAGGATATTGTGTAATAGCAGTTGAACTGAGCCATGTGGCCTGTAGCCACTCTTGTAGCCACAAGTGCAATAATTTTCTGAGGGGGCTCCTATACCAGCAGCATCACCTGCAAACATGTTAGGAATGCATGTTCTCAGTCCCACCCAGACCTGCTGACTCAGACTCTGGAGCAGTGGGGCCAGTTGTCCAGTGAGTGGTGTAAGACACCTCCAGTTTTGATGCACCCTCAAGCTAGAGAACAGTGCCTCAGCTGTCAGCTCATAGGAACGCTGTTAGGCTGGAGTGTGTCTCTGCTTTGCACATGAAGAAAGGGAGGCTGCAGAGTTGAGGTAACTTTTCTGAGAAATTCCTCTTGACACCATAGGTGTAACCCACCTCAAGATGGGTAAGGTGGAATACGCTGCCACTCAAGGAAGCTAATCAGTCTACAGATGGTATTTAATTCCTTGCTCCGTGGAGCCTTGTGCTTTGTACTCAGTGATGGTAAATATGTTAATTTGTGCCATTCTTACTATATTTCAGCACATTGCTACAAATGCTGCCATGGTTCCATTGTTTTTTACTCTAGCCCAAGAATGGGGACAAAGGGAAGGAGAGAGAGAGATACAAAGAATGGAGAGGGAGAGAGGGAGAGACAGAGAGAGTAGTTTAGAAAGCATTAGGACCCCTCTCATGCAGCTGGGGGACAGTTAGATAGAGCTTTGATTTTACTTGTGCACACAGACCACAAGCATAGGGGCCCGAGTAACAATGCAAATGGTGTTTCTGAGTAGCACACTTGCCATCATGTTTGGAGCCCTGATTCAGACATTAACACTATAAGAGGGAATAAACCAAATCCTTAGTCCTACAGCATTTTGTTCAAGGGAAACCCAACTAAGAGATCAAGCAATGAGCAGGGAGATAGAGAACAAAGCAGGAGAAAGCTAATGTGGGTGATGGAAGTAGAGTGGCTGAGTTGTGCCACGGCTCGGGGATTCTGAACCCCCAATTTGGACATCCAGCTGCAGACCTCACCACAAGGTCAGGGCCAGGGCCACACGGCCAAGTGCAGGGACAACAGATTCTTCCAGTGGATGCTGAGATGGGGAGGGACTGTCCTGCTCCTACACTCATGGGTGCAGAGGAGAGTGTGGAGGCAGGCCGGTACAACCATGGAGGCCTCAGGAAATTCCAGTGTGGGAAGTCCTGGGGGCTAAGGAAGAGGAGGAGTACTGCATTGGTTCTCTGTGCACTTAGTAGACACAGGCCTTGGGTAAAGCTGCCGTTTAACCTCCCTCATTCAGTCCTACAGCAAGCCAGGAAAATGGAAGTGTTCCCTTTCTTTAAGTTACACATAATAAAATGCATGCCCAAAGAGGTCAAGTAACTTGTTGAAATTTGACAGCCAAGAAAGGGTAGAGCCTGTGTTTTAACCTGAGGTTCCCTAGCACAATAGCACCCACTGCCAGGGCTGGGGATGGCTTTTGCCTGTGCGATCTGTAGTTCAGCTGCAGTCAGATCTCTCCTGGTGCTCCACGCTCACAGGGTGGCCAGTGCCTGCCTCTCTTCTGGTCAAAGGCAAACAGCTCCTGGAGGCAGCAGGGCAGACAGTGCTGTCCTCCCATGTAGGCGACATTTCCTCTCCAGCTGGAAGCATAGATGCAGCTGACAGGATGCGAGATGTCAGCAGCAGCTGGGGCCTGGGGGAAGGGGTTAGTGGCATTTGTCAGATGATGACAGAGCAGTGATCAGGCCCTGGTCCCAGGGATGCAAACTGACCCTTCCTGCTCTTATGTTTTCAGATGAAGCTGTGAGAGAAAATTCTCCTTTTTCCTGCAAGGCTCTATATTCACACTTCCCACACACCTCTAATGGCTCTTCCTTCTGCCTCAGATGGAGGTCCCCACTACCCTGGTTCCCATTGCCCACGCAGTCCAGCCAGAGCACAGGGCCAAGGACTCAGGAGAGTGAGCTCTTTTGAGTCGAGAGTGAAGATGGCTTCAGACTAGGAGGTCTGGGTGTTCTAGGAAGAGGAAAATAATTTTAGTCTTAAAATCATGAAGGGAAATGGAGGATTATCATGAGGTCTTGGAGAGTTCCTTCTGTGACACGGTGTCCATGATAGCTATGCAGTGGCAGCCACATTTGGCACGTGGTGATCTGCCAAGAAACCCACAGGTCTGGTCAGAAAGGTCACCTTACCAAGTGATCTCAGGTAGCGATGCCTTTGCGTGAGACTGATTTTGGTTCAGGAGGAGCACTGCTACTGGGGGGAGGAACAAGAACCTTTGTTGTCATGAAAAGTTCTCATTGGCTCTCACTGGAGTTTCTCATTCTCTGTGCACCCCTGGCCAGAGGACTGCCCATGCAACATGCTGTTTCCTGTCCACTCTGGGCCTTTTCACAGAGCTACTCACATGTGAGCAGAGGGCGCAGGCTGGACTGAGGTGTTGCCAGTGTAGGGGAACTTCCTCTCTCAACTTGGAGCTCCTTTGTTCTGTTCACAGACCCTGACCCCGGGATGGCCTGGACAACAGGAGACATCGCCGTCATTGCAGGTGAGCTGTCCTGGGGCCCTTCAAGTAGTCAGGAGGGTCAGAGAAAATACCCAGAGGAGAGCTCATCTGAGGACTTGGGCCAGGGCATGGCCAGTGCCTTCCTTCTCTGAAAGACGGTTTTGAATGTAGACTGGAAGAGTCTGGTCCTGTAAAAGCATCCAGTACAGTGTCCCAGTGGGTGAGAGTAAGACAATAGCAGTGCCAAGGGCACCATGTCAGGGTCCTCACGGGGCTGCAGATTCACAGAGGTCAGGGGCTGGAGATAGAGCTGCTGCCTTGGGGAGGTGGCCTGGATGGACCAGGGCTCCCTGAACTCTTTTCTGTGTCCTCATTTCACCCCATCCCCTGTCGTGGTTCCACACTCACATCCTTCCCTCATAAATAAATGTGACCCTGATCTAGCCTTGCTTCAAACCCTGCCCTGGTCCCACTGGTCATGGTTATGACCCGAAACTATGCTTCAGAAAGGACTAGGTTTGGGAGGGGTAGCCTGTTGTTTCTTTCTGAGATTCACACATCTCCCCAGCTCGTTAGTAGATCCGGGACTTCACTATTAGATATAAATAAGAAAAAGCAGGCCCTCGGACTCCTGCTAGGTTGTATGTAATTGACATTCTCCAGCTCATTGGAACCCTGAACCCTTCTTTTCCTTGGGCAGTATTATTAACATCATGAAGACAAAGTGCTGTTCTGAAGGCAGCAGGAAGGTTAGGAAATTGTTCCTCAAAGGTGGGACTTGGAAATAGTTTCACTAACATCCCTCAAAGCCCACAAATAAACCTATACTCTAAGTTAAGGCAGAAGGCTTGCTCTGTGGCTTCAAAGCAAATGTCTGTATTCACAAACCTTCTCCCCACCCTACAAGGGGCTGCCCATTAGCCCTGTTCAAACTCTTTTGTCTTCCCCCTTCATCCATCACCCCAGTGCCCACCGTGGCCTGGATCTACTGACCAGCCCTCAAACCTCATCTCTCAACCCATCCTGACTCCAAATGAAGGAATAGCTGCTCCCCATACCCCACACCCTCACACACATCCTTCAGGATCCCCTCCCGCCTTAGTCTTTTGCTTGACCAACCCCTGCCCTACTGCAGTTCAGGGAAGTTGGGTGGGGCGATGAGCAGTGAAGCCATGCTTTACCCAAGCCATCCTGTCCTGGGAGGCCCAAGCTCAGCCCAGTCCATCGGCCTGCTCTTTCCCCCTGAATAGTGCACACCAGGCAGGCAACTCCACCCCATTTTCCAGCATCTTTCTGGTTCTAGTACTTTAAGTCTCATGTCCCAGGAAACCTCTTGTTTTAAAACTGAAAGTTCTGAGTCCCCTGAACCCCTCAGTTTTAGGCAAACCCACACAGTTGCATTATACAAATTACAAATAATGCACGTAGGTCGGTACACTGTGAGCACCTGCTCCTGAGCAGGGATCAAGTCTGGAATACTGTCCCAGCCTGTGTCTGCCAAATGCTGAAGTGTGGAGGGAGGAGAGAGGAGGGAAAGAAGGGAGAGAAGGGGGGACTCAGATGAGCACTGACGAGAGTGAGCATACACAGGGCAGGGAGAAGAGTGGCAGGAATAGGGAAGCCCATCTGAGAGTGTTCATGTAGCAGTAAGTCTGCCTTGCCACAACCCCCGCATGTCTTGGTCCCCTGCTCTGGTTTCACCCAGAGCCTTGCGTTTCTTCCCACCTGCAGGAGTGATCACTGCTGTGGCCTTCTTCCTGGTTGGCCTCCTCTTCCTCATGCTACACTACATGTACCGGCACAAGGGCACTTACCATACCAATGAGGACAAGGGCACAGAGTTTGCTGAGACCGCAGACGCAGCCCTGCAGGACGACCTTTCTCTCCAAGATGCTGGTGACAACAGCAGAAAGGAGTACTTTATTTGAGGGGCACGAGACCTCACCTCCCCCAACGCCTCCTCCTACTCCATGACTTCACTCCACCACCTGCACCACCAAGCAGACCGTGAGGGCACCCACCTCAGCCAAAGACATGGGAACACTGGGTGCTGGGCCAGGGAGCTGGGAGGAAAGGAGGAATTCAGTGTGGAGAATCCTCCTCCAGGGACACACTAACCACTCATGAGGCCAGCCTTTGCTCTGCCAGGGGGAGAAAGTCTGGGTCTTCCTAGGCAATGCAATTTGTCCTCAGTGGGGTGTGTAAGTCCTTGCTGGGCCCGAGTGGGGTGGGTGGGCCTGGGGGCTGGGGAAGCAAGGAAGGAAGTCGGCACTATGCTGATTGGAACAATGGCATCAAATGTCAGTCCTTGACATCCAGGAGAACAGCAAGTGACAGGGCTAAAGACACCTTAGTCTTCCACTGATCCAGCTGTAAATGAATGGAAATAAATTTGAAATGTAACTGAGCACTCAGAGTCAAACAGCATTACCATAATTGTCTGGGGAACAGTAAACGCCACCTAGGACTGGCATTTCACCAATGCAACTGTGTGTCTCTGGTAGAGTCTGCATGCATGCCTGTGTGCATGGGGCTGCACAGTCCACTCCTGGCTCCACTGCCAGTCCCAGAAGAGATGATGCACAGAGCTCCTGGGCACATCAGGGGAGGGAGGGACCATGACCAGTATTCCGTTTCCCCACACAGGCACTAGCTTCGTGAAACAAATGTAAGGGCAGGATGTCCCTTTAGAAATAGATTGTCCATGCCACCAGGGCACTGGTTGAAGCATTGATTCTCTAATACAGTATTAGAAAAAATGGATCTCTTAAACAAATATGAGGGAACTGCATCCTTCCCATAACAACAGAGCCTGGAGTACAGGCTCCCTGGGTTTGGACTCTGGCTCCCCTTCCCTGGTCCTGGAACTGGCTTGACCTCTATGGCCTCAACGTTTTTGTCCCTCTTGTGGACATCCCACAACCCATGGTACCCACTCTCAGGGTTGATGGCAGTAACAAATATGCCAAGTGCTCAGTGTTGTTTTTTAATGTCATTATGTGGTACTGGATATAATCTGTGCATGTGTAGGTTTACAAAAATTCCTCATTGCACCACTTCTAAATGCTTCCTGAATAGCAATCATAATTTAAAATGAATAGCAGAAAAGAAAGATAAACTTACTAACCACCCTCTTTCATGAGAATCTCTCCAAGACCACCAGCAGCTCAGCAATCACCCAGAAATCATCCGAGATTAAAGACGGCTCCCTGGCCACTGGGAATTCCCTAGGGCACAGATTTCGGAAGGGTGCACCATCTACAACTGGGAATCAGCAAAAACGTCCCCAGTCACTCTTCCTAGGCAGATGATGGATCCAAACTCAGTCAGTACTGACCAACCACCAGCCAAAGGATCTGGAAGTCCCAGGGCTGTCATAGCGCAGAGAGACAGAGAGAAGAAATTAAGCTGGCCAAAAGGTGAGGCAGTTCTCTCGGTGACCCAAGCTTGCTGACCCTCCATTGTCTCATCTATAAAACGAAGGGCTTGGCTCTATCTACATGTCCCAAACCACTCTATTGAATGCTGCTTGGCAAAATGGTAATAAACAGCCCAAACAGAAAAGATGCTTCAGGCGCAAATAGGTTTGGAAAATGACATATTAAGTTAAGTTAAAGCAGTGAAGGCTTCCCAGGATATTTAGTGTTCCAGTGCGTGCTAGAACTTGAGGTATGAGGAGTAGGGATCCTAATACAGACTTTCTCAAATGTCTTTGGCCAGAGACCCCATTTCTTCTCCAAATACCTACTAAAAATTTGTGGACCAAGAGTTCCTCAGAACCTGTTTGGGAAACACTAAACAATTTCTAGCAATCCTTCCTGTTGCGACATCACTTTAGGTTTTTGAGAATAAGTGGGCATATGGCCTCGTCTTCAAGGACTATAAGCATAAATCACTGTCTAGTGCACCCAGAACCCACACACAGACATGCCTTTCTTTAAGAAAGGCTCTAGGGAGAGACGATGAGCCCAGAGCCCCTGGGCCAGTATCTTTGTGGGGAAGGAGGCCACTTCTCCCTCTTCCCTCCCTCCCTCCCTTCCTCCCTCCCCCCCGCCCCCCGCTCATCCAGTAGCCCTCTATCTGAGACCTGGCCCGTGAGAGATGGACTCTCTATCCCCTTACCTCATCTCCTTCACCTGCCCTATGAAAGTACAAAAACTCTATGGAAGTACAGCCTTCTCCCAGCCCACTGGGTCCCCAGGCCCAGCCAGAATCAGAGGCAGTGTGACATGGAAGCGGTAGGGTTGAATTGTCCCAGGTGACTAGTCCTATGCTACCCAGGAGGGAACTGGCACCCTCTGGGTGAAATCACAGCCTCTTTGCACACAGTTCCTCCTTTTATCCTCTCAGTAACCCTCACAAGTGGATGACTTTAGCCTCCCTTTTGACCTATAGAAACTGAGGTTCAGAATGACTGAAGGGCTTGTTGGAGGTCACATACCTTCTAAGAGACCAGTGGGATGAATCTTCTTCCTTCCACAGTCTGCAGTGAAATCAGCAGGAGCTCTTCATGGGAGTGGATCAAGTGCACCAGGACTCGGGGACACTGGAATGACCGAGTGTCGGGATCAGAGCACCCCAAACCTGGCCAACAATGACCTGGGTTCCCGTGCCAACATCCCCATTCTCTGAGGGCTGGCCTGGGGCAGAGGCTGCTCAGAGTGGTGGGAATGGGTGCCCAAGTAGAGTCCTGGGCCATTGGCCTTTGGTGGGATGGTCAGCAGGGTAAAATATTTTCAGTTAGGTCACACCTCATCCACATCTCAAGAACCCATGACCTGGCCACCCAGTCACTCTTATCAAGAAGGAAAATGATTGGCTAGATGACCCTTCTTAGATGATTTGTGCTTTAAGAAAGTGCTTAACCCCAAAATAAAAATGTTTAATGATGAATTTTCAGATCCAGAGACAGATAGACCATATGCCTGTATGTGTCTGATTATACAGCTGCAATCCACACACATGTATTACGTACATATCTGAGTTTGGGGGTGGCTTCACTGAATAGAAAAGGCCCTGCCTCAAGGGCGCTGTGCTTGGTGGAGAAGGTAAATGCGTCAAGTCCATGGCCCTGCAGTTTTATAGATGCTGTGTGAGTAGGGGCACAGTTCAGTGCAGAATATCAAGGAGAGAGAGGCAGTTATACCAGGAGATGAGGTGGACTTAGAGAAGACTTCAGAGGGAAAGGGAGACCTGCATCATTTCACAGTAGACTAGGACAGGACCATGGAGGGTCTTGAGCCCCAGACTAAGAAATGTGACTTTATCCTACAGGCTATAGGGAGCCACTAGAGGAACAGATCAATCTCTATCATAAAACTATGAAATGATCAAGTTAGACAAGATACAAGATGAAAATAACTGTGGAAATGTACAGGGGGCTGCTAAAGGTGTGTCATGGTGGCGGCCCTGCCAAGGGGTGGAGACATCCGTCATCCTGGGGCACACCCCTTACTTTAGTTTCCTTGTCCTTTAGTCTGGATTTCACATTACCCAACCCATCCTGCTTGCTGAGAAAGAGATCTCATCCTTTCCAGAACACAGGGCAGTAGGTCAGGCTTCAAGCCAACCTTCACATTAGAGAACTTTTCTTTAGTGGAAAGAACTACAGATGAGTGTATCCTGTTTTTGTAACTTTGGAGGAGAAAATGCTCCGTTGTTTTTCATTCTTTGCCTGAGCTTGTTTTATCATCATAGCACCAGAGATGATTTAGAGATCAACAGGGTTTTACCTGGCCTAATGCCACAAATAGAACTACAGTTACTTTCAAATGCCCGTCAATTGATGAATGGATAAAAGAGGTGTGATACATATATGCAATGGAACATTACTCAGCCATAAAAAAGAATGAAATCTTACCATTTGCAACAGCATGGATGGACCTAGAGGATATTATGTTATGTGAAATAAGTCAGAGAAGGACAAATAACATATAATTTTACGTGTATGTGGAATCTAAAGAACTAAATAAATGAACAAGCAAAATAGTAACAGACTCATAGATACAGAGAGTAGACTCATGATTGCCAGATGGGAGGGGAATTTGGGGGACTGGGTGAAAAAGCTGAAGGGATTAGGAGTACAAATAGATATTTACAAAATAGTCACGGTGATATAAGTACTGCAAAGGAAATATAATCAATAATATTGTAACAACTATGCATGGGTCAGATGGGTACTGGAAATATCAGGGGGGACACCTTAAAGTATGATTGTCTAAACACTACACTGTACACCTGAAACTCGTATAAAATAATATTTAATGTAAATTGCAATTGAAAAATAAAATTTGAAAAAAAGAATCTGTCATGAGAGATATTAACAGCATTCATGAAGCCCTGGTTTGTGGCCCACACATTTCTGGCTGCATTTGGAAAGCCAATGGCAAAAGTAGACTTAGTTGCTCGCCTTTAACAAATACATAAGCTTCAATGGCCAGAAACCAAAACGTAGGGCTAGGAGACAACGGTGACCTCACATATATAACAATTCAATTAAGTGCAAAATAAAGTGTACTCTCCAAAAAAAAAACAAAAAAAAAACTACAGACACTTTCTTGTTTACAATTTAATGTGTCCACATGTTGTGGAAGGAGAATGATTCTGCAATCAGACACATTTGAACAAAAATATCCCTTCTGGTACTAACTAGCTCTGTGACCTAGGAAAATTTACCTAACTTCTCTGCTTCAGTTGTAATCAACAAATGGAGATAAAATATTTGAATTTTAGAGTGTTTTGAGTATAAAATTCAATAAGGATATAAGCTTGTCAGGAAGTTTGTAGGCATTAAGATTTTTCCACTTGTGAGGTAACAAGTTGGCCTGTGACCCTTCAGTAGATGATGACAGAAGACAGGGACTCTTTGCTCAGAGACAGAGGACTTTATCACTCACAGCACAGCAAAAGTATAAAAGTATATTTGATCTGTTCCCCTTGTCCCCAAGTCCTGGAGGACATTATAGATGATCCTAGGTGGATAGTTGCCCACATGGTGGGTTGAGTTCCAGCAGAGGAGTCCTGTACAAAGAGAACCAGAGTCTCTTCTGATAGGCAGTAGGGTGCCTGCCCTCTTCTCAGGAGGAACTAACTCTCTGCATCTTCCAGGGCTTCTTGCTATAGAAACATCCTAGAAAAGATTGTCCAGAACAAAGAACAACTGATGCCTCACTCACAAGATGGAAGAAATATGAATTATCTCCCAAGTAAGAAGTCACTGCCTAACACAATGCCTGGTAGTGTGAGTGCTGAATAAATGCTTGTCGAATAAGTGTGCACAGACATGAAACCCTAGCCATGCACTAAACACCTGAGCTCAGAGCCCTTTACAGTATCCCTGCTTCTCACCAGCAAATTAAAAAGCACCTTCTACTTCTTGGGGCACACAGAGGAGTTTAAAGGTGAAAGTTTCGCATCTCTTTGCTAGTGCATGAGGTTTGGTTGTTTTTATTGGTTTGCAATCATAGGAACAATAGAGGCACACCCTGTGGTAAGTCATAGTGCATGGGTGAGTTCATCAATCCAGAGCCCTGGCAGTGATCTTGGACAGTATTTTCCAGCTTCTCTTTCTGAGGCCATCCTGTGATCAAGAGGTTCCTGCCAACGTTACAGATCTCCAAGGATGCTTAAGATAGGCAGACCTCCCAGACTTCAATGTGTAATGAAACACTTTAGCCACCTTTTACTTTTCACACAGCTGAAATTACTTCTTTTTTCCTCCAAGTCCAAATATACCTTGAGACTCCTCTTTTGTCACCCCAGAAAACCAGAACAGATCCCTCACATCTAAAATTCAAAGTCTAGCTGTCCCAACCTGGCCTTGGAGCAGAAAACAAGGCTTCCCCTAAGCCTCTTCATTCAGATTGAATCAAAACTTTGCTACTGCTGTCCATTCTGGGTATACGTACACTCATACACTCAGATCCCAG